TAAATTATTCTGGGGTGAGGGGCAGCTGTCAGCACCTGCCATCTCTCTCTCTCTCTAGTCCCTAAAAGAAACCGACCCATCTCTTCCGTAGAGGTACTTTCACAATTGTTTAAAATGTAATGAAATGCACCAAGTTAAGCCACCTTTGATGTGTTTGTTGCTTACTAAAATTTTCAGGAAAGTCTGATTGAAGAGGAAACTGGGCAGAAGAAGATGTAAATCAAGTGATCCAGGATTGGCAATATTGAAGTATACTGCGATTTGTATCCCACTTAGCATTATCTCTAGTAACTTGTAAGGATGTCAGAAATTCTCACACCAAGTGCACATATTTCATAATGAAGTGCTGCTATGTTGTGAATAAAGTAGTTTGAATGTTCACTCCTTCTCTATCTCTGACATCTGATGGGGCCACAAATGGGAGCGAGTGTGTCTGCAGGTGATGGATGGGGAGGGAGAAATGAGTCTGCAGGTGAGAGATGGGGAGGAGGGAGAGATGAGTCTGCAGGTGAGAGATGGGGAGGAGGGAGAGATGAGTCTGCAGGTGAGAGATGGGGAGGAGGGAGAGATGAGTCTGCAGGTGATGGATGGGGTGGAGGGAGAGATGAGTCTGCAGGTGAGAGATGGGGAGGAGGGAGAGATGAGTCTGCAGGTGATGGATGGGGAGGAGGGAGAGATGAGTCTGCAGGTGAGAGATGGGGAGGGAGAGATTGACTAAGGGAGTCTGGTGGTTCTCGTCCACTCTCAGCCTGCATCCAGATGGAAGAGAAAGGCCATATATCGAGCGCTGATTGAACTGTTTCAATTCCAACTTCCTATGGGATTTTTAACTATAATCTCTGATCGTGCTCCATACTCAAAAATGCAAACTCACAGCCTTTGGGTCAACTCTGACTCAGAGTGACCCTGGAGGACCGAGTAGATGGCCCCTGTGGGTCTCTGAGCCTGTAAATCTTCACAGAAGTAGAAAGCCTCATCTTCATCCTGCGGAACAGTTGGTGGTTTTGAATGGCTGACCTTGAGGTTAGCAACCCCCAATGCACAACCCACTATGCCACCACGGTGCCTAATTTTTGATCCCACTTAACATAAATGAGGCTATAGTCAAGGTTTCCTCCCACTTGGTAAAAAGTTACTTCTAGTTGTCTCCAGTTCCTTAGAAATCAAGTGGAATTTGAGTGAGACCTGGGAGAAAGGAGGCCTTTGAAGAGCCCTGGTCTAGCGGTCCTCCTGGCCATGAACAATCCCAAGTTCACCAGGGCAAGTGAGGCACATTGAAATTTGGAGACAAGGGCTATAAATACTGCCTGATCTTGATGGAATTTCCCTTGAGAGGGGCTATGGCAGGCAGCCAGTTGAAGCTAGGCTTCAGGTGATCTCAGGTGCCCTCGTCAAATAGCACAGCCACCACTCACTGTCCAGAAAGACTAGTGGCAAGCTTTGGGCTAGATGTGTGTGTGTAAATAGTCACATCCATCTTTATAATCCTGGAAAGTAAATGGATAGCCTTCACTTTAAATGGAAGAAACCTGGGCTTCAGGAATTCAAACGACTCATTCCACACCAACGGAGTTCCCACCCAGGGCTTTGGCAGGGCCCCTGTGAGCAACCCGAGCGCCCCCAGGGCTCCTACCAGTCTCTAGCCAATCAATAAACCCGGTCTCCTATGATTCTGAGTTCCGTGCCAAACAACTGTCACTTCGTGCCGGATCTCCTGCCGGTGATTCGTTTCAAAGGAGGGGCTCTCGTGAGCCAGCATCTGCTAGGTAGTCCTTATCGGCTCGGCTTTGTGGAGACAGAAGTTTGTGTGGTCCACCGGACTAATTGTTCTCACTTGTCTTTTGATTAGATTGCAAATGTTTTCAAGTCCTAGAACTCTTTTTTTAAAAGAGAAAACAAAACAAAACAAACGTAAGTGTAACCCTAGTCCTTAAACCAGTACCAAACCCCAAACTCCTTGCCCACTCCAGCCGTACAGCTACTCGAATTGAACTGGTGCTCGCCCCCGCCACCCCCCACCCCAATCTCTAACTTGACACATTGCCAACACGGATTTTATAAAACCCATCTTGAACAGCACATTTTATAAATGGTAAGTCGGGAAGTGCTGCTTGGAAAGTCCGGTTCATGCAGGCACGCGTCTCCTAAGAACACCGGGCCGGCCCTGTTACTATCTGTTGCACATTGGGTTCCCTTAGGAGTCGGGCCGACTGCCTGGTGTCTACTAACAATTCCACACAAAGCGTGTTACGATGTCTTTGTTATCAGCAGAGGGCGGCAGGCAGTTCTCTCAGGTGGACCCTGGTCTTAGTTTTGTTGGGGTGCCCTTACCAACAATTGGACAACAGCAAACAGGTGTGACAAAATCAGCTAGCTCAAAGGTGAGGGAGACCATTTTACAGAACAAATTGTCACTGGGGAAGAGTCTTAGATTTACCAATATTGTCCTTGGAGCAAGGTACCATCAAAAAAACGGATGCTGTGGTGATCTGTTGGGTCAGATATATTCAAGGCAAGAGAGGTCGACCTAGAAAATTATGGCAACTCTGCTTTGGAATTTCAAAGGGTTCATCTATTTTTTTATTTAATGATCATTTTATTGGGGGCTCTTACATCTCATAACAATCCGTGCATCAATTGTATCAAGCATAAGTATACATATGTTGCCATCATTATTCTAAACATTTACTTTCTATTTGAACCCTTGGTTATAAGCTCATCTTTTTTTCCCTCCCTCCCGCCTCATGACCCCTTGATAAATTATTATTATTTTCATATCTCACACTGACTCCTGTCTCCCTTCCTCCAGTTTCTGTTGTTCGTCCCCTTGGGGAGATGGTGGTTATATGTCGATCATTGCGATTGGTTCCCCCTTCCTCTCAAAGGGGTAATCTCTGTCGAGGTAGATTTTCTTTTGGGAAGGACACTTAACAATCACAGGGCTTACTAGGAGAGAGCATGCAGACACAGAGCGACCTACCTGGTGAGGAAACAGCCAGGAAACTTGCAGTCCCGCACCCCCCACCCCATCACAACATACCTGCTCGGTCTTTGAGGCTGGCGAAGGCTGTCCCATGAGAATGTCTTAGGGAAGACTTACTTGATTCATCCTGCATCCCTCATTTTGCGCCTTTAGATTTTTAGTACACACACACACACACACACACACAAAACACCATGGAGAAAACATTTAACTTGCTCAAGGATGCCAGCGCTCGGGGTGTACATCAGAGAGTGCAGACTTCTCTGGGGAAGGGTTAGAGATGGACAAACTGCCTTCAGCAGCACAGAGAGCTGGAGGATGTGCTGAGAAAACACCCGTCGCCCATTTTGGTATTTTACAGAGTGATTTCTATGGTGTTATACCGGTAATGTCTTACTTATCCTATTTCCTAGATAGCAGTGGGCCCAACCTGGGCTCCCAATGCAATACCACAGGAAGTACCAGTGCACGGTGCTACCCTCACTTCTAGCCTCCCCTGCCCAAGATTCTGATTTAACTGGCTTGGGGTATAGTCTCGCCCAAGGTAACACCAACTTGGACTCCGCTGAAGAAGCCCTTTCCATTTAAATTACAACACTCGTTGTAGTCTCTTTGGCTCACCTTCCCTCGGCCTCGTTCTCTGTGGTGAATGAGCACCAGTAGGACTCATGTCCAACAATTAATTGCTATCATGAAGCCCAGTCAGTTCCCCCAGGCAGGTCAGATGCCAGAGGATGGCTGTCGGTGGGAAGACAACCACAGGCTGGCAGTGTTTGTTGTTTGAGGCAAAGATGGCTCACTACGACTCTTCACCCTCCAAGTTTAAGTGAGCAGGGAAGAATTCCGGGTGCCAGGGGTCATTGGGAGGCATCTGTTAGGAAAGCTGGGAAAGGTCAGGGATTCTTTCATTAAAAGTATGGCACGAAACAAAGGAGCAATCAACTTTTAAAATACATTTCCATTTTTAATTTAAAAAATAAATAACAGCAACTCTGAACAAAAATTCTTCCACTTCAATGTGTATCTTCCAAACTGCCCGTGTCTGAAACCCAGCTATTTACAACATCATGGCCAAGGAGCTTTTAGACAGAAGTTGGGATGAACCG